CCCCAAAACCCCAAAACCCCAAAACCCCAAAACCCCAAAACCCCTATATAGGGTTATAAAATTGATTTATTGATTTAATTCTAGAGAAAGGGCCTTCCTTTCTTCCTCCTTTAGTCATGATTTGACCTATTACTTGCAAAACGCTCATGATGAAGATGAGACATTGATTTATGATGACAGCTCATCACTTCATTTAAATCAGAACAGCTGAGGTTCATCTTCAAAGAATCAAAAGTCTTTGTATTTAAAGGTTCTTCTTTTGAAACATCAGGTTTCTTCAATGTGTAATATGACTGTGCAAAGAAGCTAGTCTGAGATTTAGAATTGATTAAATTCTTCTTTCTCAGTTTTTCTTGAGATACCTCGAATGATTTATCAACATTATAGACTTTCTGCTCGTAATTCTTCCTCTCTTGGCTTCTCTGGCTGTATCCATTGCGAATTACTCCGTTGAGATAATAGGAAGAATTATTTTGATGGAGCTTGGTCAATGATCTTGGAGCATCTGTCCTTATCCTGGGTCAGGTTTACATTCAATATTTTGGTTGTTCTTTTCACTTTCTTCTTAGGAGCTGTCTGAGAGTATTGGTGAAGATTTGATATTGAATTTACTGTATTATAAGATTCAGGTGTAGCGATCATGTCTCTTTGGGACTGTTTTCTACTCTCAAATTTCCTTGTCAAACTATTTCCTGCTCTAATGCTATTTTTGAGAACTTGAAGCCATCAATATGAAGTTGACCTTCTTAGTTGCTTCAAGGTTGGGTTTGAAAGTGCAGTTCTTTCTGACATCTTTGAGTTCAGTAGACTCTGTTCTAAATTTTTCTTGCGCATTCAGGAAATTAGAGAGTTTGTTCCTTTGGATGAGCTTATTTTTGACTGTCTCAGCATTTATCCTGGAAGTGTTTCAACTACTCTGTTCGGTATAATCTCTATTTCTATAGAATGAGTGTAATGTAGTACAAAGACACGGGTGATAAGTTCTTATTTGAAAAGATTGTCTGAACAATCCCTGAATGTTTCATCTTCTCTAGTGCCTTATCATTACGATTACTAAATTTCCTGGAGTTCATGATAGGACTATTTTTGAGATAGAGGAAATCAAACCTTTTATCTGCAATTTTGAACCTGGGATTTGCTTTTGTAACCATTTTAGATCCAATTTGTTTTCTGAACTGATCTCCTGACATAGGTTTCGGAGACTGGTAATTTTTAGATTTGTGATTTTTCATTTTCTGAATCTCTGAGTTTGAGAGTTTATTTAGTCATATTTCTGGTGGTCTTCTTCACTGGTTTCCTTGTCTTCATTAAATTAGCTAGGTCTATTTACAAAGTTAGATTTCAGATTAGGGCGAAAGGTAATCGAAATAATTTTGAAGGAGGTTTAGAAAATGACTAAATTTTAGGAGGTCTTACCAAAAGTAGCATAATTTGGTTTGGATTTTCTCTTTGCAAATTTATTTTTGTAGGTCTGAAATTTTTGCTGATTTGATGCTTGCATGTCTTTTTGGAGAAGACCGTTTATTTTTACGAAATAATTTTGGGGTTTTGAGCTTGCCAATGAATTATATTGGTTCTTTATTGTGTCCTTGCCACTGTTCTTTGTTGTTGAAACTCTGAACAGTAGGTTAGAGTAAGTTTATGGTTATATTAGAGGCTGAGAACTATAAAAGATTCTCATTTTATTCTAGTGAAATAAAGAGTATATAAATTTCATAACTTTGTGAGAGATGATTGTGTGTTTGATTTAATTAGTCAGTTAGGTTCTGCTCGTGTTGGCTTTAATTTTACTTAAATAAAAAATTAAGGTTTCAAAGTTGCAACTATTATGAATATATGCTCGCATTTATCATTAACTTCGATGTGAAAAATTACCGCAGTCTTTGTTGTGAATAAATTTCATTGAAAATTTTAGAAATGTGAATATCTAAAGTTTCTAATAGACTAAAATCAATTCTCAGTTTAGTTTTATGTCATTATTCTTTATCTGATTTAACTAAAATGCTATTTACCTGTGAGTTTTGTCAAAATTTTGTATTGAAAGTTCCTTTTGTTTCACTTCTTCTAAGTTAGCTCAAGTATCTCTTTCAATACTTTGTGGGGAAGTTTTGAATTGGTAGCATTTTGCTAAAAATTAGCGATTATGAAAATTTCATATTTTTCAAAAGAATTGGATGTATTAAAGCCATACCTAAAGCTCCGCTTTCTGGAGAGTTTATTTGTAAGCTCTCGCTATGGGAAGGTTGGAGTTTGGACCTCAATGAATACTTATGATCCTTTCTCAAAGTTTGGCTTCACGAGGGTGAGCCCATCTGGTTCAAATTTTTGTCAGCTTTATTTGACTTTAAATAAGACCCTATAAAAATACTCAGTAAGCTCTAATAATAAAGCGAATGTTGGTGAGCTTACTTAGTTTTTGGTTATACCGACTCATTCTTTTCCTTTCTTTCAGCATTTTGAGAATATTAGCTACAGAATATTCGAAGGGTTCTTCCCTCATGAACATGTTTGTTTTCAGAGACTTGAGCATGACTAACAAATTTTAGCAATAAAAAGACATCTACTTACTTTTCACAAAAGTGTTCTTGGTCAACACAACGGAAATATTTTGCTCGAGTACGCTCTTCATTGTATGAGCTTTGAAAAGAGTCAAGAAGTGTTTTATCATAGGTTTTACATATGAATCAAGTCCTTGTGTCAAGGAATCCTACAGATAAATTAAAATCGTTACTATATCATCCAATACAATGCTGTCTTCAGCAACTCTCTTAGTTCCTAATTTCAGTTAGAGACAAGTTGGTAATACTTACCATTATTTGCAAAATTAGTCTGAAGAGCTTTAAATGTCTCGATCAGAAGCTCTAATCCTTCGATTCCAAAGTCGGAATTCAGGACATAATTTTCGATACTTGATGTACTTGAATATTCTGTTATTAGCTCTATATAGCTTTATTAGATAATTAATAGGTTCTATGAATAATGAAAACTGGCTTTTATTCTTCATATTTTCAATCTTATCACAATAACCCAAAATCAACACAGGAGTAAGTATAACCTCCCAGCTTAATTTTTTCCAAAACAATCCTTACTCAGTCTATAAAACCCAAAATGTACCAAATCCCATCCACAATCCCTCAAAACAAACCAACCCTCCATCCTACATCTCCCACTACATCCCCAATCCTCCAACCTCATCTCTACCCACCTCCTTGTCCTCATTTGAACATCTAATCTCTACCATATCCCCAAACATCCAAAACCCAGACTCTCCCCACCTCTTTAACCCAAATATCCTGAAATGAGCCTAACAAATATTTCTTTGTTAGCTTAATAAAGGCTGAGGGTTTCCACTGGGGACTGTATAGAGGTGGTGGATGAATAAGAGTGGGTTGGTAGTTGAATGGGAGAGGGTGGTAGGGGGAGGACTAGATTGTGAGGCTGGGGAATGTGAAAGGTGGGGGTTGTAGGGGAGTTGGGGTTGATATGAATTGTAAGAGTTGGGTTTTTAGGAGAAATATTGGGAATAACGTTGGGGTAGGACTAACATTGCAGCTCGTTAAACAGATTTCAGAGTTTAAATGTGCTATTGTGATCATGGATTTTCAAAATGATGTTTGTGTGGGATAGTAATCGAAGTGGAAATAGATATAGAGCATTCGTTTAGTTTAGTGGTTGTATCCTTATAAGCTTAACTTCTTATTGCGTATACTTTAAAAATTCGAAAAATGAAGGCCATTGAGCTGGAGCATCTATCCGAGATAAAATGGTCGATTTTATTCAGGTAGCAACCAGGATAAATTTGAATTGAAAAGAGACAGTTGCTATTACTTTAAATGGAAATGTATCTTTTCCTTAGTGGTCTAACTTACTTTCAGAACTGGTTGTATTCATGGTTGGCTATCAAATAATAATCTTAATATTTAAAGTTATAAACTCTCTTAGGGGTTTTGGGGTTTTGGGGTTTTGGGGTTTTGGGG